CAGATTTTAGTGTAAAAATTTCCGTTTTTCCTTAATTTTTATTTTGTTTTTCACGCCGCTTTTGAAAACTACTGCGAAATTTTCATTTTTGACCCCCTCAAAGTACCAACTAGATTCACTTTCCTATCAGAAAAGCTACTGTTGAAGAAAATCCAAGCACTTTTACTGTCCTAAAACGTGATGACAGACACAAAAAAGAATAAAAAATAAAAAAAAACACACACATCATTGTAAAATCAATACATTCATCGTTTCACTCAGAATCTAAAAATAATAAAAATAAACACCATTATAAAACGTTCCGCTCAGAATCTAAAATTGTACCTATATATTTCTGATAATTTTCGACTAATATTAATTAATGAAAAAGTATGAAACCTTATAAGGAACTTTGTATTAAATATTAAAGCTTTTTTTAATAAGTGAAAATGTTTTTATCGACAATAATTTAAAAAAAATTTACAAATTTCTAAAAATTTCTCAAGATTATAACCATCTAGCTGAAAGAGTCAAAAACTTCAAAAATTGGTGTTGCATACAAATTACCACTTTTTTTTCTTTTTTTGACGCTTTCTTAAATTACTTGAAATTTACGATTTTTACCTACCAAAATTACCTACTTATCAGATTCCTTTTTTCTATCATACATTCTGATATTGTAAATCAGATTATTTTTAGTATCATAAAATAAAAACACACATCATTGTAAAATCAATACATTCTTTCGCTTCACTCAGCATCTAAAATACTAATTAACTGATGTTTTAAAAAAAATAATTTTGTAACTGTACAGTGTCATTATTGCAACCGGTGTCTGACCCGCGCTCTACATAATACATAGATCCGGCCGATACAGTTCGCAGCGTTTTATTCTCGACGATCGACTCATGATAGTGCCAACCATGGCTTTAGATAGAATAGTTGCACATCGGGCTACAGTACTCAATGTTAGACCTCGGTGTATGAGAGTTCTTATCTAAATTTATTTATAAACTTTAAAAAAAATTGATAATCTTCCGAGTGCCAACTTAAATACTCAAAGTATCAATGTGCCAACTAACATATTATACATTGAATGCATGGTCATGGGACACTCCCCTCCACCCCCTGTTCGGAACTGCCCTGCGAAGACTGTAGTTTTTCGAAACAGTTTTTCTGTATAATATGATCTCGTATATAGATCTCACATTGTAATATCTGGCTACCTCTCAATGTGCGGTCTACAGCCGATATATGTTCTACCTAACGTCCTAACTACTTAATACTTAATGTATTGCTGTATGGAATTATAAAATGTCCACTTACAAAGTTACAACGTTTAACATTAACAATGCGCCATTTAATAGTTTTATGATATAAATTATGTCTTTTTCCAAGTCTATTTTAGATATATTTTCCTGGCCTAATGACTAATATTAAATAATTGTGTTTATAACCTCTTATTTTATTATTATATAATAGGGAGCCGGTGGAGGTCCTCTAATGTGTCCCATTGAGAATAAATCCAATCAGTTCCAACAGGCCGGAATCGTGGCCTGGGGAATTGGATGCGGTAGCGAGACACCCGGCGTGTACGTGGATGTGGCCTTGTTTAGAAACTGGATCGATGAGCAGATGGCTAAGGAAAAGTTGGACACGAGCTACTATGATCCTGATTATGTTCAAACGAATTAAGTTTTCTCTATATCTCTCTCCTTTATATACATTATACACATACCTGGCTCCCTCCTGGCTCTCTGCTTAACCTAAATATAAATTTATAAACATTCAGTTAATTTTTGATTTTACGTGGCACTATTTGACGTTTATTGGAGAAACTATGAAATAAATAATTAAATAACAGTATGAATAGTTATGTTTTGTATTGTATTTTAATGGGCAGGTTTGAAAGTTCTCTTTCCATGAGTTGAATAATTGCATTATGTTAAAATGTTATCTTTTTTTTATTCAAATATAATTATGATTGTTATAACGAAATACATTTATAGAAAAACTATTCAAATGAAAACAATTATATTATTTTTCTTCGTTTAACTTAATGACTTTTCTCTGGTTCGATTAAATCAAGCTTTAAACTTAACTAGTTAAATGTCACCCTAATGTTAACTGTTAACTTTAAACAATGTTTTAAACTGTATATTTAAAACGGTTTAAAACTCAAACAATTTGTTTTGTTTGAAACGTCATTTTGAATAGAAAAAATCAATTTAAAACAAAAAAAAACAAAAAAAAACATAATATTCACTTGGACACTGTTTTAAACATATGTTTTATTCTTTTCAAACAATCAACGAAACATTTAAAACAAATGTTTTAAACATAATAACCCGGGTCGGAGGTGAGAAGTTCAGTTATCGGTATTTTCGTAATATATAAAATATGTAATACGTTTTAATTTTAAAACATTGCAAGTAAAATAATTTAAATATCTATTATTGTTGTCACTTACCGCCCATGTAAAGAAAATAATGAAATTTCATTCGAAGAGTGCGTTTATTTACTCGAATACGTATTGGTAACATTTTTGTTTTTTTATTGATAGGTTAATTTTTAATTGAATTAATTGATAACTAACATTAGGTATATTATGTTATAACTACTTATAGGTAACACAAAACTACTCACACGCACTGTCTATGAGACAATCTATCGTAATCAGATAGTAAATTTGTCGATTAAGATTAAACGTTTGGAGTTTTTAAACGATGTATAGTTAGTTCTAAGTTTAATATATATTATTTAATATCTATTGGTAAATAGGATATCGTCGGTTTCGAAAGATACGATTTTGGTACTTTAGTACGATACGACTTTTTTTTCTTACCTATCTCATTTTGTCCCTTATGTCTTCCACCTATACTACCATAGTTCATGATATTTTTATACAAATAATATATTTTACTTGGGGGCACATACAATTATAATGAGAACCACATGCGGCCCCTGGACCGTGGTTTGCTGACCCCTGATTTAATATTATTGTATACCTACCTATTATATACATTTATGATTTACTCCATACGACCATATATAGAAAGGTTCAAAGGTATTATATTGTACCCTTTATAGTTTTCATAATATACTATAATATTTATATGGATCAGCTGTTAGACCGTTTGTAAATTTGATGGCAGGCCAAGAAGACATACAAAAGGAGGTGAGGAAAATTCACCCAGCTTACACCGCTGATAACGATTCTATTCATACATACATGTATGGGTTCTTAGGCCACCCTGTTACTGAATTATGTGGAAATGCAAAAGTTTAAAAAGCAAATTTACATTTCTAAATTCTATAAGTTATACAAGCCATAGGCGTGTCTACGGTGGCATCCTAGGGTGCCTGGGCTGCCCCTTCAATTTTTAAAAGGTGCCGGTCAACCGAGTTTTAAGTCGGAAAGGTTACAACATTTTTTTTTTTAAAAAACCATGATTTTTGTGCGGGTATCGTTATAATTACCATTTACTTACAAAAATTGATTTTCTGACTTCCGAAATCGGAAAAACTTACTATATATACTTGAGACATACGACGACGGTACCTATGGTACGCATCGAGGTATTATTGATATTATTGTTGTATTGTTTTTGATTTGTAGTTAGGTGGTGTAATTCAAGGCTGTAGATAAATAATATTTCTGAGGTTACTGTAGATTATTATTGTAAATAGATGATTTGGACTTTTTTTAAATTATATAAATATTTCATTGTGAAGGGGGGCTTGAAAAAATACGAATTGGGTGTATAGGGCTTTTATTAGTTCACTAATAAGGTAGCGCCGGTTATTAGCTAGGCTGACCCTGCCGACGGAGTCTAGTCACGCCTATGAATTACAAGCAAAGATGTTCAAATAGAGTTGGTATATGTGTATGTGACCTTTGTGACCTCTATGGGCTATAATAAAGTATATTATATATAGGTATAACTAAGGTATCAACAAAAATATATAGAATGTTGCTTAACTTTCCTTATCCAAATATCTCATGAATTTAGAAGTTTTTAATCCTACCCGTTTTCTAATATATGCTGGTTAATAGATTGTCTCGGTGGTAATGAGTCTACCTGATTACGGGTCAGGTTTTTTTTACGCACATAATAGGTATACTTACTAATTAAAAATATTAAACCTTTATATTCTAAACTTCATTTTCCTCCCATCAAAATCGATAATGGCAGGCCAAATAACCATTGACCCCTCATGATATGCATAAAACTGCATAAACATGTAATTTTTTTTACTCTCGTAAGACTGCAAAAACTGAATAACAATGTGTAATAACATATTAACATAATATATATCCGGACTTTAGACTTTGACGATGGTTGTTATCACGTCTTGTTCGTATAGTAATTTGTGTTGATGATAAATTATAATAACGAAATTATAAATATTTAAGCAAGGTCTTCCCAGCAATGCTAGTAAATTGCTAAATGATTCTCAAAAATAATTCAATTTTTTTTTAGATGTATAAACGATGCACATTTAGAATATATATAATCCGTTGATAATATGAATATTAATAATTAGTAACTAGTAGGTTAAATTGGGAAATTTTTATATTTACATACTTCGCTTAAAAATTAAAAAATTATTTTGTCAGCTTGAATGATAAACCGAAATGACGGATATCATCATTCGTTTCTTGAAGAACAGTTGAAAATGTACCCATAAAAACAAAGTCAATCGTGACCAGTTGATAAGCAAATTAATGTAATTTTTCCACCCACTGATTAATAGTTTGTTTTTATATTACGTGAGTATATTATTATCTCAACTATTCAATACACATATTTCCAAGTCAAGAACAAATATAGAGAAGTGGGGTTTATAATTATAATGTGTTCGTATATAGGTACCTACCTACTATAAATATTATCTAACTTAGAAGATTCAACAAATTGTAGGTCTATAGTCTACTGTTCTACAAGTTACCTAGTGGTTTATCTTAAACGAAGATAAACTATTAGTTTGAATAATATATTAAAATTAGTTTAATAACAATGAAAAGTTATACAAAATTACAATGTTTTTTAACTGTGTTATTATTATGTTTTGTGAATTCGGGATACAATGTAGAAATACTAGTATCATATGAAGGTAAGTTTTGTTATTTTTATTATAGTGTAAATTTCTAAATCATTAACACTGGACGGAAATATTCACAGTAGACCTATTGGTCTTAGAACAATGTTTATTTTCTTTGGACTATATATAAGAGGCACCAATTAAACAATATAAAATATGAAATTTATAAAATTATGTAAATTTTACTTATGAGAAATCATTGGAACAGATATAAATAAAAAATACAGTGTTATTATTTACCACGGCACGATTAAAATTATTTTAAATTCTGAGCGAAGTGAAATGTTAAAAATACATAGTTACAATTTAATAAAAAGTACCGTAGATAATATTATAATATATTATGACATATTCAATATTATATGTTTATATTATTATCATTTATTTTTCCATACGCAATAACATTTTCAATATATTTTGACTCATTTTGAGCTATTTATAGGTATATGAAGTTTTTAATTATTATTATTTTTATTTTTAATTAATGTCAATAAAAAAATTTTTGATGTGTCAAAAAACTTGAAAATGCAATACAGGATATGTTTTGTTTGGTAGAAATTGAAAGAAAAGTCCAAAATAATTGTTAAAATTACAAGGTACTTTTCATTCAAAAACCAAACCTATTACAATAAATTGGTTAATGTTGTTCAAATTCAATACCTAATCCACTTTTACTTTATATTTTTAACACAATTTTGACGTATTATTATTATTATTATTATTAGAACTTTGGTTGTATAGACCTTATTAAATTAATATAAATAAATTTAATTTAACTATACATTTCTGTTTAAAATAAAATAATGTATATTCGAATTGTGCCCCATGAAAATCCATGTTTATTTTTTTGACATCAAAAAGGTTGATTGCCTTTGATTTAAACGCTTGTAAATAGTGGATTTAAATATTAAAGACAACAAGCTAAAATATCCGAAAAAACTTAATAATTTTAAAGGCGTTTTTATTACCATACTTAAAAAACTTGTTATAAGACTTCCTTTCATCTATTTTTTTTTATTTAAATATTAAACAGTAGTATATAACACAGACCACGTATAAACAAAATACCGTATATATTTTTAATGTGTCTATTTACCTACATTAAAGTATTAGCAAAGAACAATATCAATAAATTGACTAGGTATCAAAATAAACTGAAATATGATCCTATTTATATATTATTCATGTTTAGGTAATATTTGCCGGACCGGTGATGGAGAAACTTCCAACTACATTTGTAAGAATTCGGAAAATTGTTCAGTTCCAATCGAAGAAATTAAGAAAAATATTTATCCAATATGCTCTTTCAACGGAAAAACTCCAATAGTTTGTTGTCTGCCAGAAAAAATATTTCAAACTACTACCACAACGATTAAACCTGCAAGCATAAGTCCAGTTTTGAAAACATATTCTGCCACGGAAAGTATGTAAAGATAATCTGTTCAAAGTTATATTATACATATAATATATTATTTAATAATTATTCTTATTTATTTTAATTTCACACATATTATAGAGTGTAGAGAGTATTCACAATTAATTTATTTTAAAAGAAAAATCCCAATATTAACATCAAATGAGGAAGATTACATCAACATAACTGATTGCTATGATGCCAATCCTTTAATTAGCGGCGGGGAAATGGCTGTTCCAAAGGAATTTCCTCACATGGTGGCCATATGAAATGTATGATATTATTAATTTGTATTGTACCTTTTTATATTTTTTAATTACAGGTATTGTTGGGTTATGGTGACAACCCAGGCAATGAATCATGGTTTTGTGGAGGATCACTGATAAGTAATAGATATGTACTAACAGCAGCCCACTGTGAAAAAATCAATACTATGAAACCGTTCGTATACTTACACATTATTATACATTGTATTTACTTTATAAATTGTAATAGAAATAAGTAATAACTAAATGTTCAGGTCATATGTGAAATGGGCTCGCTTAGGTGAACTAGACTATAACTCAGAAACTGCAGACTATAAACCCACAGACTATAAAATAGTAGAACGCATAATACACCCAAATTACAAATCAACTTCTCTGTACAATGATATAGCATTGTTACGTTTAGAAAGAGATGTAAATTTCTCAGCATATGTACGACCTATTTGCCTAAATACAGATATATTAACACCTTCAGCAGTAATGGCTACTGGTTGGGGAAAAACTGCTTCAGGTAAGTTAGTTTTTATTTATACTCAATATAACCTTGGTACATACCTACAATTATAATTTAAAAACATTTAGATAAAGGCGTTAGCGCACATTTATTAAAAGTACGGTTAAACACTATTTCGACGAAAGAGTGCAATAATATTTTCTTATACATGTCAAACAAAAATAATAAATTAGCAAAAGGAATAGATGAAAACTCAATGTTGTGTACTGGAAAAACAGAAGGTCAAAATGACACTTGTGGTGTAAGTAATTTGTATTTCTGCATCATAAAGATGACTTTAATCACAATTTATTTTCACAATCTTATAGGGTGATTCAGGTGGGCCAATTCAAATAAAACACAATAGTTACAAATGTATGTATTCACAAATAGGAATAACATCATTTGGACAAATGTGTGGGAATGAAGATTCGTCTTCTGCTTTTACACGAGTATCGAATTATATTTCATGGATTGAAGAGATCGTCTGGCCAAAAATGTAATAACAAATTATCTAATAAAATAATAAAGCATATATTTGAGTTAAATGTTAATAATCTACATTTTAAAGTTTGAAACCATATAATTATGTTTATAATGAAAATTTATTTTTTAATTGCTTATAGTAGCTGTGAATTCTGTTAATATTTTTAGATTTACACTAAAATATTTTTTGTAGATACCTATATTATATAATATAGATTATACCAAAAATATATATTTTGTTTTATTTATAAAACAATCTATTTTTATATTCAATCTATCAGCTATTTATAGTTTTTATAAACACAATGGATGAACGATCAATAAATATAAAATATTTCCATTAGTCATCTAAGCAAAAAATATAATTTTTAAATTTAAATTTAAATTTACCCTGTGCAAGAAAAATAAAGCGTTATAAATTTATAATACAATAATAAAAGTTAACTTATAGTTCTTAAATATAAAAATGTGCGTTATTTAACCACATTTGTTTGTCTCACGTATAAGTATAATGAAACAAATATGTAGTACTAAATTTTATTATAACACTAATATAACACTAATATTATGATTTCCACGAATTTGTAATAAACCTAATCGGTTTATCATAATAAGTAATCTAAAATTCGCTTAATTTTATCACTAGGAAATCCTTATCAAAATGTAAATCAAATAACGGGTCAGATATTAAAAATTAATTCAGATACTTTATAAATTATATATGCTCTAAAGTCTAAATTGTATTTTTATTTTATGGTTGGGTCGTATATGTTTGCGTTTTAATGTTTAAATTGACTGAAGGCTAACAATTCATAAAAAAAAAAATTAAATGACCTAATGAACGCGTTCGTTTTTTAAAAAAACACTAACGTGAACGAGTTTCTTCTTAAAGGACTATACATGAACGTGTACAAGTTCATTTTTTTAGTCAACATTCCGAACACTGCACAGAGGTAGGTATGTTGAAGAAAATGTTAATAACATAATATAAAATAGCAATAAATATTATTTATTGCTATTTCTATCATTATCGGATACTCGGTTTTAATTATAACTCCAAAACTGGAAGAGTTTAAGTTCATTAAATTTTAATTTCAATGAACGATCAGATTGAAGTTCTAAAAGTTACTCTTGTTCAACTTATCCTAGATGTGATATTGCATCTGATGTTACCGCAAAAGAATTGCGCATACCCAATCACATTCGTTAATAGCCAAAGAGGGAAATATTTTTTTTTTTTTACAGAACAAATTATCGTTTGATATTGAAAGGACAATAATATATAATAGGTACACAGCGAATAGCAAGTGGGTATCTGTAATTGATATTCTTGAATTTGATTTTAATGATATTAAATAATATCATTATATACGACGTTTCTGACAGAAGATGGTCAGTCAGCCTATGATATATTACTAAATATATTTAATGATATTATTGTGAATAAATTAATTTATTCACCTATTTACGTGGAACCTTTTTTACATTTTCAATCCTTAGCTATTAAGTTGAACATTTTTTAAATGTTTTACTAAAAAATCATTTTTTAATTATAAATTTGATAAATGTTGTCAAAATTCTAACTTTAAATGCTCATAAAATGTATGCCTCTGTAATTTAATTATTTTTTAACTTATATTGTACCTAAAAATAAGTTATTTTGTAGCTTTGTAAGAAAATCGCTACATGAGAAATCGAGTGAATATCCAATCTTGTAAATATTTAAACTTCAAACGCTCATAAAAATTTAATTAGACTTTAAGGTAGACATTTTTATTTTTGATAATGATAGAAAAACTTATGAGGAATCTTAAATTAAATTTTCAAGTTTTTTGATATAGCAAAACATTTTTTATCGAATTAATTAAAAAAAAAAAAAAATTTATAATTGAAAATTGCATACGCCTAATAAAATAACGCCTATAAATAGCTAAACATCAGTCAAAATATATCGAAAATGTTATGGTGTATAGAAAAATAATTAATGATAATATAAGCATTTAGTGAAAATGTCATATATCTAGTACCTAGGTATCTGAAGTGATATGAAGAATATAAAAAAAATACATTCGTTCACTTTGCTGCGACGATGGTGAATATAAATAATAAAAGTGTCAGAATTAAATAATATAATATTAATTTATCTGGATGTAGGTATTATCATAATAAAGAAAAGTGGTATGTCAATAGCAATATGGCTGCCAACTCCCTAGGAAACACATGGGAAATAGAAGAGATGCGCCAACATGATTCAAATTCGGAAAGTTTCTGACATACCTATTTTCTTTATCATGGGTATTATAATCATAAATAATTTAAGAATGGATAGGACATGCCTTTACCAGTCCCATGTGCTTTTTTGGGGAAGAGAGAACGTAAAAAGAGAAAGACGATATGGGGCTTTTTAAGGTTATGTGCAAAACTATTTTATTAAATAATAACGATAACATGATAGACAGTTATATTTAGATATTTATCAGTTTGTATTTTGATTGTTGTGCCACCTGTTCCAGTGGAAAATGGAAGTTGGAAAATAATATTTTAACAAAATAAAATTATGTTATTTAATATTTATTATTATTTATCAATTATTATATCAATATTTGCTCCATATAACCTTAAAAATAGTATCACTAAATTTTCATGTGAATATCTTAGCCTAACCTATATCAATAATTTACAATTTAAAATGTTCCCACCTATATTATGTGTACATTACAGTGACGACTGTCTACAATATACGACATTACATGCTTAATATTGGCGTAGAAACTATTTTGAATTTCCAAGTATTTCCCAAAGTGGGGGGACACATACAAATTAGAAAAATGAGTATTGCGAACTAACAGATTACGATAGATTTGCGGGGCCAGGCATGCAAATACATTCTGATTACATGCTAAATATTGGCGTAGAAATTTGAAAATAAGTTTTTGTGATGTGTGGGGGGATCGAAGACACGTGTTTACAGCCCCCCACCTATTTTTTGATACCATGCCTAATTAAAACACATGCAAATTACAACATTTAGCATGCAAATACATGCTAATTATTTTCAAAAAAAAAATTGGAAAATCCTAACACTTTAAGAATGTCACAAATTATATGTATTATAATATTACGACCAAAATATAATAATACATGACGTGCCGCTCGGGAAAATGAGTTTAACGTCGGACGATATATTATCGGTCCGATAGTCCTATGGTGGATCTCGAATCGCCTTTTCCGCCGACCGTTGTACGTCTTACGCGACACAGTCCCCCCCGTCCTGCCTTGCCATTACCGGCTCGGTGGGAGAGTCAACCAGGTCACTCTACTTGCATCCTATGATGGTGGTTGGAGATAAGATAGACTGGTCGCTATGGTGCTTGTACATTGTACTTGCTACTAATGCGGGCTGCGTCATACTCCCCCCCAAACCACCATACGGGGTGCCACAGCTTACTGGTGTTGGTGGATAAGTGGTTCAGCTCGCGGTACCCCTTGCCATGTGACTTGAAGTAAGCTTGCCTTGCTGACACCCTCCTAGTCCCTCTCTGCTAGATGGTGTTGGTTTTTGGCCTCGTGCTCTGGCCCTTCATTGTCGTTGGTATGGCAGCGATGTGGCGTTGGTTATCCATGGTGCACTGCTCTGTTTGTTGCATGTGTCCGTCCGCCATCCGGACTGTTTGTTGGTCCGTGGAGGGGTTTGCCGTATTTTTGGGCTATGGTCGGGTTTACGTACGATTTGGGTCTGTGGATCTAATAGCGCCGCGGCCGTTACGAAGCCTGACGGAAATTTGTGTTCGACCGCGGTGGGTCGGAATTTTGTCCGGGCGTGTTCGTGTGACGTTATTAGACGTATTGCAATCGGTCGAGCGGGGCAACTGGTTCTGAACCTCGACATAGACTGATTGGTGGTCGGTGTTGACCGCCATGACCAAACTGTCCCTGTTGGTTGTCTCTGTGCTCGCCTGATGCCTTACGTATACAGAATGACCTATAATGCGGGGTTGTGCGAAGGGGGTGTGATTGCGCCTCCGTCACCTGTGTAGGTGAACACCCGTGGCTCTGTTACCTTTGTCCTTACACCTGCGGCTGCCCCATAGGCCGTTGATGTTGACCACACGTGTCGCCGGTGAGGTGAGTGTGGTGGGTGGTGGGGTGGTGTAGGTTTGGGATTTAAGAGTGAGTGCTGATAGGTGGTGTGGTGACGGAAAAATTCGTAGTTGGTTTTTTGTCGTTACGAATTACCGAATTACCGAACTGCGTGCTTGATGATGACATAATTTTTCTCCGTCCGTACTACCGAAAATATGTGATGATGGGTGACGAGAGGTGGGTGGAGATATCCGACACGAACTCAAAACTTCTGCTATGCGTCGAATCACGCTGAACGTAAATGTTATATGGGTATATATATGATATGTGTACCTACGGAAAGGGACGATAAAATCGGGAGTGGTAAACTGAGTCCCAAATAATTGGGTGGATATTGGGGCTAGGTAAATTGAGTCCGAAATATTTTTACGTGCTAGGTAAATTGAGTCCGGAAAACTTTAACGTGCTAGGTAAATGCTAGGTAGTTTTCGAAAAAATAATTTATGAATAACGACGATATCAATCGTATATATATCAATCATATCGTATCGTATACCGTAATTATTACCGATTTGTCGATAGTATTTGGAAAAACCTTATGAGCACTAAAATTATCGCACTATATGTCTATATTATCCGTTTATCGGTGTTATACCGTCATACCGATGACTATGACAATTGACAACCAGTCACCGGTTATAGTTCAAGTGTTCAACTTCAAAATTACAGTTCTTAAAATTATTTATTACAAAAAACAGTGTTGTTATAATAGTGTTGCGTTGCACAATGGATTTAATGACAAGTGAACGAAACAAGACAATTTTTATAGTTGACGGGCATAAATTCCAATTCCCTAAGATCCTTAAAAACGACATTCAACGATGGACTTGCTACTTAAATTATTGTAAGTGTTACTTGAAATTGAACGATCATA